TTTAGAATTTTTTTTTTTTTCAATTTAGTGACTAAGTGAAACATATTTAACTGTCTCAAATTTAAAAAGGACAAAAAAAATTTTAAAAGGGCTGAGAATGTAGCTCAGTGTGAAGTATCATAAATAAAAGAACAAATATAAAATTATTTTTTCACCTAATCTTTATTTTTTTATCCTCTCAAGGTTAAGGTAAGTCATGATAAAATGTTGAAAAGATTTTATGGTTTGCAAAATTATATCAATCATTTGTGAAATCAAAAGGAAAGTTTTGTGTCAGAATTTAAAGATAAAAATGGCTCACAGGGGGAAAAAGAAAAAAGGCTCACAGATTTAGCATTTTTGGTAATTTGACTGGTTGTTAAGTGAGTTACACGTGCACCTTAGGGTGACAGTCACTTTGTTTCAGGAAAGCTCAGTGCTGATACAGCGAGCACCCAGCTCCTCCTTCCCTGGTCTTGTTTCTCTAGGCACCCACACAGCAGCCTAGGGAGTGTGTGCGGGGAAGTGAGTACACACTCACACCTCCCAGGGCACTTCCTCAGAGGCATCTGCCCCAACTGTGAGTTTGAACATTTTTTTACACACACACACAAGTTATTTCTGAAGTCCTGAGAACCATGGTGACTATGATGCTGGTCACCATTTCTCTTAGGGTTACTTTGGAATCTGAAAAATGTCTTCCTTACCCCTTTCTGGTGCTAGTGATCCCTCAGGGGCCTTGGTCTCTGCTCAAGGAGGTCTTAAAGTTTGCCTTTCCGATGTCACTGGATGAGGCTGTGGCATCTAGAAAAGCTGTGGGCCTTATTGTGAAAATAGACAGCCAGGTGGTCAGACAGGGGGAGGAGCGGAGAGGCACCTGTGCTCCACACGTGGGTTTAGATCTGGGGCCTGACATTGATCTGAGGATAAATGTGATAGACAACTGAAGAAAATATGGAAATAGAACGTTGCAAATGGCAAGAGGAGAGTTGGAGGGTGTGGGAAGGGTTGAGGGGGAAGGGGGCTAGGGAAGAATTGAGATGTATTATGTGCAGGTACAAACTCCCCCATTATAAACAGAATCATTGTGCACAGCGAACACACTGACTGCAAAAGGGAAAAGCATACATGTATTGTACGTGGAAGTCTCTGTTTCCTGACCTAACTAGCAGTGAACACTGTTTCGGCTCTCCCAGCTTCTTGGCCCTGGGGACCACTAATACCTAAAAAATTTACCTGTTCAGCGTTCCAAACCATAACAGTGCTTAAAATGAAACTTAAATTAGGGCAAGCTCAGGACTCGGCAAACCATTCAGCGCTGTCTCTGTGTGTGGTAGGTACTGGGTGCTGGTCTTAGTACTTTTCTCATTGCTGAGACAAAATACCCAACACTCAAAGGAAGGAAGGTTTATTTCGGCTTACAGCTGATAAAGGTTTCAGTCCATAGTTGGCAGGGTGGCATGGCAGAGTGGCCCTGCAGAAGAGAAACAGTTCTGTGTTTTTTTGTTTTTGTTTTTGTTTTTTTTCATCTCAGTCTTAAAATGATTTCTTCAAAGAAATTTTGTTTTTATCGGTACCAAGGATCGAACTCACAACTACCTGCTTGCAAGGCAGGCACTTATTCCGCTGAGCTAAATCCCCAGCCCCTAGTTCTGTGTTTTTGAGACAGGGTCTTGGTATATGTAGTTAGGGCTGGACTTGACCTCACTATGTGGTCCAGGCTGATCTTGAACTAGTGGTGATCATCCTGCTTCAGCCTTCCCAAGGCTGGGATTACAGGTGTGTGTCCTCTACATGCAGAGAAACAGTTCTCGGTTGGCAGAAGGCAGCAAAGCAGTGAAGTGGTAGCAGCAGCTTCCAGGCCTGGTTTTATATTTCACCAAGGCCACCCACCCTTTGGGTGGTGCTGCCCACACTCAGAAGGGAGTGCTTCTTTTTCTACCAGGTATTGAACTCAGGATCTTGAGCTTGCCAGGTAGGTGCTGTCTTGAGCTTGCCAGGTAGGTGCTGTACCGCTGAGCCGTATCCTTGGCCTGGGTGGAGTACCTTTAATCTCAGCACCACTAGATCCAGACACTTCCCAAAAACCTCACCTATGACTGCATGAGGCTTTGGGGAGACATCTGGACATAAGCCATAACAGTACTGGACCCAGCCCCTTTAATTCATTTTTTATCGTGAGATAGGGGCTCCAACTGGCCACTCTCCTGCTTCAGCCTCCCAGAATGCTGCAATTACATGTGTGTACTGCTACATCTGGCTAGTTTTATACATTCTATTTTTTTTTTTTTTTTTGTCTTTTTCCTTTTAACCGGTACCAGGGATCGAACTCACGACTGCCTGCTTGCAAGGCAGGCGCTTATGCTGCTGAGCTAAACCTCCAGCCCCTATACATTCTAATACATTGGCTAAACACACTCCTGTAAACAGCAAAAAATATGCAGCCTTGTTTTCCGCTTTGATGCAGGAATTTGAGAAAAGATTTCAAGATTTCTGAAAAACTTTTGGTATATTTCTAGTCCCACTTTTAGTTGGCATAATACATTCCCTGTAAATTTTCTTTCTTCTCTCTCTCTCTCTTTTTTTTTTTTTTTTTTTTTTTGAGGCAGGATCTTGTTATGCAGCTCAGGCTGGACTTGAACTCACAGTGTAACCCAGGCTAACCTCGAACGTGTGATGACCTCCTACTTTAGCCTCCCAAGTGCTGGGATTACAGGTGTGCACCACCATCCCCAGCTGATTGATTATTTCTGAAGAGAAACTCAGTAAAAATTGGAACTGCTTCATTGAGCCAGACACTGATTCGTTAGTTTCAGAAAAAAAAAGGTCAAATATCCTATTAATTTTTTGTGTATGCTTTCCTCTTTTTTTGTTTTGCTTTTTTGAGATGCTACATATTCTAGGCTGGCCTCACACACATAGTAGGCCTCCTGAGTGCTAGGATTTTTTACAGGCAGGTGCCACCACATCCAGCTAATTAAAAAATGTTTAATACTTTAAAATTTTTTGGCAATGCTGAGGATTGAATTGGGGGACTTGTAAATGCTCTCTCTTTTTAAAATTTATAATAAAGCATTGTAGGACATGGTAACAGATGCCTGTAATACCAGCAATCTGAAGGCTGAGGCAGGAGGATGCTGCAAATTCAAAAGCTAGCATGAACTACAGCAAAACTCTGTCTCAAAACACCAAAAAAGGGCTGAGACTTAGCTCAATGGTGTAAATGCCTGCCTGACAAGTACAGGTTGTGAGTTTGATCCTTGGTACCTAAAAAAAAAAAGAAAAAGAAAAAGGAAAATAAAGAATAAAGGTCATAGAATTAAGAAGCTGAGGCAGGAGAATCATTGTGAGTTTGAGGCCAGCCTAAACTACATAGTGAGACACTGTCTCAAATAAAGAAAAAGAAAAGAAAGAAAGTTTTGTTACTTGTATTCATTAAATGTTATATATTTTATGTGTATCCTAAGAAAATTCCTCTTCAATGACTGCAGATGAGCCAAAAGGTTGAAATCTAGGTGTTTGACCTATTCCTTCATGTCTCTTCAATGTGCCCGGCATGCTCTGTCCTGGGCCTTTGTACATGTTGTGCTGTCTGTCAGAAACGGCTCCCCTTGGCTCTTTCCCTACTCAGCCTATGTCTCTGAGTTTCTCTTAGGTCATCTGTCGCCACCAAGATTCACTCTTCAGACTATCTCTGGCATAAATGCTGCATATGCTACACATTTGTTTGGTTCCCTTCTCTACTCCCTCCCCACTACTGCACGGCAGAGCTGAGGCATCAGTTACATCCCTGTTGCCTCCACTCTTGCTGGATGCCATGTCTAGCCTAGGCTTGGCCCTGGAGCACTTACTGGAGGGCTGCAAGAGTGAACTATGAGCCCCACCGCCTGTCCCATTGGCAGGAACCCTGCAGGAGAAGCTGCATGGAGAACAGGTGATATCCATCCCTGAGGATGAAAAGACCTGGCACCTGGTAGGTCTTCTTCACAGTCACAGGTCCTCAAGCCAGGCAGGAAACCAGAGCCACACAGGGTTCTGCTGTCAATGCTTGGCTGTGTGGGGCTTCTAGCTTGTACTGGCCAGCTCGACTGCAGGTGTTCTCAGCAATACCACTACACCATGGGCTGCTTTTTATTTAAGCAGTTCACAGATATTTCTGGAGTTATTCAGTGTTTGAAATGAGGCCGGTTAGAAGAAATAAAGATGTAGAAAAGAGACAAGGAAAATAATAATTTTAGGGGCTGGGGGTTTAGCTCAGCGGCATAAGCACCTGCCTTGCAAGCAGGCGGTTGTGAGTTCGATCCCCGGTACCGATAAAAATGAAAAAGACAAAAAAAAATTAATAATAATAATTTTTAAATTGTACATTTAAGCCAAGTGTGTATACACTTTTCTGGTTCATTATATATTTTGTTACATGAGCACAAATATAGTTCATACATGTAAAGTTGGCAGACAAATAGTTACCTCAGTTTGTCATTATCTAGGCTGTGTTTGATGCTGTTGTTTTTGCTGATTGTACCATTTTAGCCAAGGTGACATAATTCTTCTAATCAGTTGTTCTCCTGGCATGCCAAGACTGAGATTGCCTAAGGGTCATAAAAAATACTGTAGGCCAGTGCCAAAGAACCAGGGGCGGAGCCAAATAGGAAGCAGCTTTTTTTCCCCAATACAATGAAAAGATGGGATCTTGCAACAAACTCAAAATCCAAAAGCCAGCTAGCTATACCTGAAAGACATCTCTGAAGTAGCTATTTCCTAAGGGTTCTAAGTACTAGCAATAAAGCTACCTACCATAAGGAATTTATAAGCATAAGAGAAAGAAAGAAAGACAGAAAGAAAGAAAGAAAGAAAGAAAGAAAGAAAGAAAGAAAGAAAAAGACATTTAAGCAATGGGGGGAAAAAGAAGTGAACCAACAACAGAAAAATAAAATGAGACGAATAAGACAATACATATTAATGATTTCAATTCACCAATCAAAAGAAACAGACTTATAGAATGGATCAAGAAGCAAAATCTAATGGCCCTGAATCAAGGTCGGCAGTTTTTTGAAGCTGTTGGTTTCAAGTAGGAGCCTAATATGGTAGCTTTCTATGGTTCACACTGGCTATTTCAGAACTCTAGAAATGTAATGGTCAATTCATTAGAAAGAAACAACTTTTCCCAGCCTCATGAGCTGCCACCAATGTGGGCCTAGAGAAGAAGCCAAGTACCCTGGTGAGCCTACTGTCATGGGCCCGGAGGAGAAGTCATGCCCCCGGGGTTCCACAGCCATTGGGGGAACACTGATGAATAGTTGCCTCACACCTCTCCACCATGCCATGAACTTTGGATGGGAGGAACCCAGGTGCCTGGCCCAGTGCCCTGCACTTTGGGATGAGAGGCCAATGCAGGAAATACCTGGGACTCAGCAACTGTCTGGTTCAGGAGAACACAGGAAAATGTCAAGATGAAGGAACAAGGTGAAATCTCAGACCTCCAGCCCACCCAGAACAAGTCCAGGGGACATTGACACAAAAGAAATTAGAAGTCACACATTTGAAATTTCTGATATGATGACCACTAAAGTAAAGAAATAACAGTGCTTGGGACTGGGGGTTTAGCTCAGCGGCATAAGCACCTGCCTTGCAAGCAGGTGGTCGTGAGTTCGATCCCTGGTACCGATAAAAATGAAAAAGACAAAAGAAAAAGAAAAAGAAAAGAAAAGAAATAACAGTGCTCATGCTGTTTGATTGAGTTTGCATGTGGGGTTGGGGATTTAGCTCAGCAGCATAAGTGCCTGCCTTGCAAGCAGGCAGTCGTGAGTTCCCGGTACCGATAAAAAGGAAAAAGACAAAAAAAAAAAAAAAGAGTTTGCATGCCTATATTTCGTGGTCTGAGTATCTATTTGGAAGGTAACAATGTGCACTACAGTAACTATGGCTGATTTCCTACTGTCTTGTTTTTGAAGTCCTATATATCTGGGTGTGGTGGTGCATGGCTGTAATCCAAGCACTCCGGAGGCTGAGGCAGAAAGATCACTGTGAGTTCAATGCCAGACTGGGCTACAAAGTAAGTTCAAGGCCAGCCTGAATTGCACAGCAAAACCCTGTCTCAAAACAAAACACAAAGAAAAGCCTAGACCCTGACAAATTCATTGTTGAATTCTATCAGAAATTTAGAGAGGATCTAATGCTGCTGTTTCTCAAAGTCTTGAATGAAACTGAAAGGGAAGCAGTACTCTCAAATTCATTCATAGAAGCAAGTATTACCCTGATACCAAAGCCAGAGAAAGATTCAACCACAAAAGAGAACTACAGATCAATCTCCTTAATGAACATAGATGTAAAAATCTTTAACAAGGTACTGGCAAACAGAATGTGGCAAATCATCAAGAAGATCATACACTATGATCAAGTGGGATTTATCCCAGCAATTCAGGGTTGTTTCAACACATGTAAATCAATAAATGTAATATACCATACTAACAGAGTCAGGGACAAAAAACAAATGATCATCTATCTCAACAGATGCAGAAAAAACTTTGACAAAGTCCAAAACCCATTCATGATAAAAACCCTACAGAGAATTGGAATAGATGGTCTTTGTCTCAATCTCATAAAACCTACAGCAAACATCATCATACTAAGGTGGCCAAAAACTGAAAGCCTTCACTCTGGAATCAGAAACAAGACAAGGCTGTCCACTATCCCAGTCAGTCAATAAAGTTTTGGAAATATTAGTCAAAGCTATTCGACAAGAAAAGGGAATAAAAGCAATAAGGATAGGAAAAGAAGAAGTTAAATTATCATTATTTGTGGATGACATGATACTCTACACAGAAGATCACCAAAAGACTTCTAGATTTAATAATTAAATTCAGTGGCATAGCTGGATACAAAGTCAACACTCAAAAAGTCAACATCTTTTCTGTACACAAATAAACTGAGAGAGAAATTAGGGAAACAACACCTTTCATAATAACATCCGAAAACACCTACAAATCAATCTAAGAAGGAAGTAAAAGACCTTTACATTGAAAACTTCAGCACCCTAAAAAAGGAGATCAAATAGAATATCAGAAAACAGAAAGATATCCTTTTTCTTGGGTAGGAAGAATCAATATAGTTAAAATGGCCATACTTCCAAAATTGTTGTGCATATTTAATGCAGTTTTGATCAAAATACTACAGATATACCTCACAGAATTAGAGAAAAGAATTCTACCATTCATTTGGAACCAGAAGAGTTCTAGAATAGCAAGAGCAATTCTGAGCAACAAAGGCAAGACGGGAGTGAGGGGGCAGCACAATCCTTGACTTGAAATTGTACTACAGTGTTAATGTGGTAAAAGCAGCATGGTACTGGAAAAAACAAACAAACAAATAAACAAGCAGACCTGAGGGTCCATTGAACAGAACAGAAGATGCAGACACAACTACAAACACACTCGGCCACCTATCTTTTTTTTTGTCTTGTTTTGAGACAGGGTCTTGCTATGCAGTTCAGGATGGCCTTGAGCTCACTAGCCCAGGCTGGTCTGGAACTCAAAAGGATCCAATCCTCCCCCCTCAGCCTCCTGCTGGGATTACAGGCATAAACCACCACGCCTGGCTCCCAGCCATCTACCTTTGACAAAGGAACCAACACCTTCACTGGAAGAAAGATAGCCTCTTCATTAAGTGGTGCTGCAAAAACTGGCTATCCATATACCAAAAATTAAAACGAAACCCACAGGGTGGGGGATTTAGCTCAGTGGCACAGTGCCTGTTTGGCAAGTGTAAGGTCCTAAATTCGATTCTCGGTACAAAAAACAAAACAAAACACTAAACCCACATCTTTCACCATGCACTGAACTAAAATTGAGATGAATCAAGGATCTAAATATTAAAACAGAAACACTGTTGAAGAGAGAATAGATAAAACACTTGAAGACACTGGTGTAGGCAAAGACTTTATGAACAAACTCCGACTGCACAGGAACTATCACAAAGAATCAACGCCTAGTAAGATGTCATCTTATTAAAAAGCTTTTGCTTTAAATGTGCAATGTGTGTACCATTGTTGCCCCCTGACTGACATGTTTTGAAAAAAAAATTTTTTTTTTTTAAAGCCAGTCAAATTTAGCAGTGGGGGTGGTGACACTAATGTTAATAAGTTCTGATAACCTACTGCTATCGGACCAGCCATGTTTTGAAATTTTATTATAGTTTTTTTCTTGAAATAAAATGGATTTGGAAAGAAAAATAAAATAAGCTTTTGCACAGCAAAATAAACTACTAACAGTGAAAAGACAACTCACAGTGTGGGAAACATTTTTTTCCAGTTTTACCTTTTACAAAAGACTTATTAGACTACAAAGAATTCAAAAACACCAGATCCCCCGAATTTAAGGATGCCATCCAAAAATGGGCATCGGAAATGAACAGATATTTCTCAGATGAAAAAATAGAAATGGCAAGTAAATATATGAAAAAAATGTTCAACATCACTGGCTATTCGAGAGATGCAAATTAAAACAATACTGAGATGGGGCTGGAGGTTTAGCTCAGCAGCATAAGTGCCTGCCTTGCAAGCAGGCAGTTGTGAGTTTGATCCCCAGTACTGATATAAAGGGAAAAAGAAAAAAAAAAAAACAAAAAACAAAAAACAATGCTGAGATTTTTTTTCTCACTCAAGAAAGAATGAGTAGGAAAGGGACTGGGGATTTAGCTCAGCGGCATAAGCACCTGCCTTGCAAGCAGGTGGTCGGTTGTGAGTTCGATCCCTGGTACCAATAAAAATGAAAAAGACAAAAAAAAAAAAAAAAAAAAAAGAAAGAATGAGTAGGATCAAGCAATCAACCCCTGGGTGTGGTGGTGCATGCCTGTAATCTGAGCACTGGGGAGACTGAGGCAGAAAAGCTGCTGTGAGTACAAAGTGAGTTCAAGGCCAGCCTGAACTGAGTGCGCAATGAGACCCTGTCTCAGAAAAAGAAAGTAAGAAATCAACCAATAACAAATGCTGGCGAGGCTTCTCCACTTCAGTGGGAGTGTAGACTGCTGAACCACTCTGGAAATTAGTATGGAGATTCCCCCAAAACACTAAAACCAGAGGTTCTATTCAACCCAGCTATTGCCTTTCTTGCTATCTTCCCAAAGGAACTGATAGTATCGTATCACCACAGTATATACACACTCATGTTTCTAGTGGCACAGTCTATGGCCAAATCTTGGAAATAACCCAAGTACCCAACAACCATTGACTGGATAAAGAAGATGTGTTTTTTTTATACAATGGATCTGCCATAAAGAAAGATTAATTTGAGACATTTCTAGCTCAAATGGATGCACCTGGAGACTATACTCTTAAGTGAAATATATCAGACACATATATTTAAATACTACGTTGTTTCTCTGGTGTGAGAAACCAAAAGTGTGAATGAGGTCCAAAATGGGGGAAAAATATTCCCCCAAAGTGTTACGTGTTCAAAGGTGGAGCTTTCAGAAAGTGATTGGATTGTGAGGGTGCTATCCTTGCCACTGGATCAATCCATGCATGAGTATGCTGTTAGGAAGTGTGGCCCTGTTGGAGGAAGTTGTCACTGGGGTCAGCCTTTGAAAGGCACATCTTTCCCCTTTTTCTGCTTCCTGATTGTCATGGGTTGAGCATGTCTTCCTCCCAGGCCCTCTGCCATCCAATTTCTGCCTTGGACTCCATTGACTGTGGACTCACACCTCTGAACCTGTGAGCCACAACCCACTCTTTATGTGGTGGGTATCAGGTATGTTGTCTTAGCGACAGGAAAACTGATTAATATAAGGGCAACTGATGTGTAGGTAATGCTGTAATCAAGAGGGTAAAATGAGTAGGAGTTTTTCTTTTAGAGATGAACTGTTTCTCTGAGTTCCTCTTGCTGGGAACCATCACCCTCTTCTCAGTTTGAATGGATTAACTAGTACCTCTGTCAGAAAAGCAGTGCATCAGTCTGAAAGGAATACCCTAATGCTAGCCCCAGGAGGTCGAGGTCCAGAATTTTTTCAAGAGAGGTTGGGAGCCAAGAATGGCCAGATGATGATTATCATGGAAATTTCCTGTCTATTTCTCATTGCATTGCTCTCCTCTCTCTATAGCAGTAAAAGAAGCCCTTGTACACCTGAACAACACTGGCAAAAATTTGAGGCAAATGCTCCCTTCAGCA